GCAGAAAGACATTCTTAATGTTGCAGGAACTCGTAACACTGCAGTCGACGGTGTTTCAAGCAGATGAAGACTTTGGAAGTGACGAAGATCGACCTATTCCTGAGATGCAAACTGAAAACAATGTTGTTGTTCCTGAAAACGAGTTTATGATCAATGAGACTTGAGACATTGATTCAAGATACAGTGCACCCACTTGAAGACGACGATAACAATGGCATAAATTTATTCTTGGAACTTGTGCATTTTCTTCAAGAAACCCAATGAAAAAAAAAAAAACACAAAGAAAACTGCAAGTGCCTACAAATCATATTCATCAAAGTAAAAGATTCAAAGAAATTGGACAAAGAAACTCCCAGCACAACTTTGTGATTTTCCTGCTTTAAGACCACTAAACCTGATAACTAACTGATGGCATGAACTGAGAATGTTTGAGCAGGAAAATCAAGCCATGCTGGACTGAAGCCCTCCAGATTAATTGAAGTTTAAATTGAAAAGAAAAAAAAATGCTAATGTGCATGCTCCTGGCATTCATTTCAGACGGAAAAAATAAAGACACACGTAGTTATCCAAAGCTCAATTTCTCTGCCTACTTTTTTTTTTAATCTAGCCACATTTTTAAAATCACCACCAGAACATACACTATATTTCCAAAAGTATTCACTCACCCAGTCAAATCATTGAATCCAGGTGTTCCAATCACTTCCATGGCCACAGGTGTATAAAACCAAGCACCTAGGCCTGCAGACTGCTTCTACAAACATTAGTGAAAGAATGTGTTGCTCTCAGGAGCTCAGTGAATTACAGCGTGGTACCGTGATCGGATGCCACCTGTGCAACAAGTCCAGTCGTGAAATTTCCTCGCTACTAAATATTCCACAGTCGACTGTCAGTGGTATTATAACAAAGTGGAAGCGATTAGAAACGACAGCAATTCAGCCACGAAGTGTTCGGCCATGTGAAATGACAGAGCGGGGTCAGCGGATGCTGAGGCGCATAGTGCGCAGAGGTCACCAACTTTCTGCAGAGTCATTCGCTACAGACCTCCAAACTTCATGTGGCCTTCAGATTATCTCAAGAACAGAGTAGAGAGCTTTGTGGAATGGGTTTCCATGGCCGAGCAGTTGCATTCAAGCCTTACATTACCAAGTGCAATGCAAAGCGTCGAATGCAGTGGTGTAAAGTGCCACCACTGGACACTAGAGCAGTGGAGACGTGTTCTCTGGAGTGACCAATCACGCTTCTCCGTCTGGCAATCTGATGGATGAGTCTGGGTTTGGTGGTTGCCAGGAGAACGGTACTTGTCTGGTAGTTGGCAACCTCTGCGCACTATGTGCCTCAGCATCCGCTGACCCTGCTGGAATTCACTGAGCTCCTGAGAGCGACCCATTCTTTCACTAATGTTTGTAGAAGCAGTCTGCATGCCTAGGTGCTTGGTTTTATACACCTGTGGCCATGGAAGTGATTAAAACACCTGAATTCAATGATTTGGATGGGTGAGTGAATACTTTTGGCAATATAGGGTATCTGATCCAGCCAACCAGGGAGTTGGGAAGTGGTTGATTAGGTGGAGTAGGTGTGGAACTAGGCTCTGCAGGAAAGCAGCTCTTCAGGACCATGGTTGGAGACCACTGCTGTATCTGGACAACTTCAGTATTAAAATAACTGACAGGAAATTGAATTATAATAATGTAAGATTTGTGCCATGACCTATTGTCTTTCATAGTTGTATTAACTTACACATGACTTTGAGGACTAGCCAGTATTGCTTGGTTCAATTCTTCATCATCTGAAGACATGCACGTTTGAAGCCATGATTGAGAGATAAGTAGCATATCCACTGTCACTTACTGACGCAACCTGGCTCAATGAGGTTACCTCACCCAAGGAATGCTGCAGCCCTCTGGCTTGGTTTACAACAGTCACTGGAGCCATGCTGTACTGCTGTAGTCTGGTCGACATTGGTCACTGAGTTGCCATTATCACCAGAGTCTTGCTGTATTGTAGTGGCGTTGTTTGCCCTGTCCCCTTGAGGAGACAGGATTGCTCAAGGCTTGCAATGAAGCAGTGTTCTGGTTTGGATTGGCGCTTCTCATCATATTATCACTGAATTGCTGCAGTGCTGTGGTCTGGTTAACACTGGTGATCGAGTTGCCATCACTGGATGTTGGTTGTGGTCTTATGATCTTGTTTGCCATGGCCCCTGTGGTCATTCAATTATTAAGCTGAGCCGTTGTGCTCTGGTTCATGACTACCATGTGATCGCTGGAGACACTTGCAGTGGATAGCGTGTCCACTTCCACACAACTATCACCATCATCAGAGTCTGAGGAGTCAAACGTAACAAGAAAACAGATAAGGCAAACCTTGGCAACTAAAATAGCCTAAGAAAGTAAAACTCATTGTTACTGATTTCTGAAGATCTTACCGGAAGGGACCTTAATGGCCTAAAATACAAGCTCCTTGATTTAAATACTTTGTGGATCATAAAGCCATTGAGCTCCTGGCCTTCACGTAACTTTGGGGAAACAAGCAGGTTTTTCAGGCTTATGCAAGAGAAAGGCACAGATTTTTCACATTTCAGTGTTTCAGTTTTTACAGAACAAATAATGAGAACTTTATAAATAACACAAAATAACACAACATAAGGTCTAAATGTGCCAATGTATTTATATCACACAGTGCAAAAATCAACCCCCACCCCCACTGAGCCATGTTGCACCAATAAATGACAGTGGGTGTAGACCTTATACCCATCCTTATTGTAACTGCCGCACCAACCGTACTGTGGTATTTAAGCCACTGGTAGCTGTAATACATTCTTTAAAAAGCTGGTTCTGCAAGGGTTCTATAGCAAAGATAATGGTTCTTTAGGAACCATAAGCACTGAAAGAACCCTTTGTATGATTAAAGGATTACATCATGAAAGGATTCTTCAGATTAATGGGGAATGTGCTGTAGATGGTTCTATTTAGAACCTTTTTGAAAAGGCTTCTATATAGCAATAAAATGGTCCTTCTATTGTGATGTCAAGTTTATAACAATAGAAAAAACATTTTTGGGTGCTATATAGAAACTTCCTGAAAAAGATTCTATGTAGAACCAGCTACAGCACATTCTCCATCAATCTGAAGAGCGCTTTCACGATGTAAAGAATCCTTTGATCATACCAAGGGTTCCTTTGAGTGCCCATGGTTTGACATGGAACCATTTTCTTTGCTGAAGAATCCTTGAAGGACCATCTTTAAGAGTGCAGATTTTTATCCTAAACAAGCAATCAGTGACAGACTGTTAACAGTATAATTAGGGGTGGCCCATAAAGCAAAAACATCATATCACAATACTTTTTCATCATACATGATGTGCATCACAATATTTTGAGACATTGAGACAAAACACTAGTGGCACTACATTTAACAACAAATATCAAAAACTCACTAAATTCAGCAAATTCAGTTAAACAGGACTAATTACGGGGCGGCACGGTGGCGCAGGGGGTAGCGCTGTTACCTCACAGCAAGAAGGCCTGGGTTCAGTTCCCGGCCGGGCGGCCAGGGTCCTTCTGTATGGAGTCTGCATGTTCTCCCCGTGTCTCCCCGGGTTTCCTCCGGGTACTCCGGTTTCCTCCTATGGTCCAAAAACATGCAGTTAGGCCAATTGGACATACTAAATTGCCCCTAGGTGTGAGTGTGTGTGTGATTGTATATGTATGTATGTCTGTCTGCCCTGCGATGGACTGGCGACCTGTCCAGGGTGAACCCTGCCTTCCGCCCAGTGACAGCTGGGATAGGCTCCAGCACCCCACTGCGACCCAGGAGGATAAGCGGTTTAGATGATGTATGTATGTAGGACTAATTACGCTCTCTTTGTAAGGAACATGGAGTTGGTCACTTTTCCACGATATGCTTAGAAAAGCACTTTATGATAATTTATCACGCTAATGGTTAAAGACCAATATATTGCCCACCTCTAAGTATAATGTTGCTAGCTAGCTATATTTAGGAAGCAGACTAACTTACCTCACATGCTCAGGAATCTTGTCTTTAAATGCATGAAACTGCAGAAAGTATGCAAGCCTGTAAGCTCGCAAAGGCGTTTTTTGGCTTTGCGCAAACCTAGAGAATTTCGTTTCGCAAGAAGTGTGCTGAGGCCTTAATTATTGAGTTTAGGTGTTTCATCGACACTCATTGCTGACAGATGTATAAAATCAAGCACATAGCCATGCAATCTCCACAGACAAACAGTGGCAGTAGAATGGGAGCTCAATGACTTTAAATATGTCACTGTCATAGGATGCCACCTTTACCGCAAATCGGTTTGTGAATATTTCTGCCCTGGACTTCTGTAAGTACAATTATTGTGAAATGGAAGCGTCTAGGAGCAACAACGGTTCAGCCACGAAGCAGTAGACTACACAAACTCACATGCTGAAGCATGCAGCATGTAAAAATCTCCTTGCATTACTCAGTATAGAGTTCCAAACTGCCTCTGGAAGCAACATCAACACAAGACGTGTGTGTTGGGCACTTCAGAAATGGTTTTCATGGCCGAGCAGATCAACACAAGTCTAAGATCACTATGTGCAATGCCAAGCGTCGGCTGGAGTGGTGTAAAGCGCCGCTACTGGACTCTGAAACAGTGGAAACGTGCCATCTGTAGTGATGAATCAAGTGTCCCTATCTGGCAGTCTGATTCACAAATCTGGGTTTTTTTTGATGACAGGAGAACGCTACCCACTGGAATGCACAACAGTAAAGTTTGGTGGAGGAGGGATAACGGGCTGGGGCTGCTTTTCAGGGTTTGGGCTCGGGCCCCTTTAGTTCCAGTGAAGGGTAATGTTAATGCTTGTGCTAATATTGCTCCCAGAGGCACTTTGAAACTCTGTAGTGAGTGATGGGTGTGGCTGCAACACCTGAACTGAATAATTAGGAGGGCTGTCCACATACTTTGAATACAGTGAACACTGGCAATGTCAAAGAAGGCATTGGAAACACAACACACGCTTACAAAAACATATCAAACTTTATTGTGTACAACACCGCCATCCCAGTTAAAGATGGTAAACAGTTCGTCAAATACAATACTGTAAAAAGACTTATAATAATCAAACAAATCACATCAACCACATCAACACACAAAAGTAGTTAGTACTATTTAAGAGAAAAAACCCTGTTTAGAAGTGTTACTAGTGCCAAATAAGGAATCTGTGGTTTTCATACGCCAATCAGATTTCTCAATTCTGATTGGCTGTGTAGAGAAAAGAAGCTTCAAGTTCAGTCATTTACAGCAGCAGTAAAAAGTTTGGCCACGCCCACTCCCAAGGTAGAATTAGAACTAGAAAATGAAAATATGTGAACAGTAAGGTGGCTTAACGGAAAAAAAGCTAAAATAGTCGAAGATTGTTTTTAAACTGTATTGCTTATATTGTGTTTATGTGTTTTGGGGGTTATTTTAAGCTGAAATTTGACATTGTTTGGTAGTGTAAAGTGGTTTTCCAGGTGGTTGCAAAGTAGCCGGTTTTAGTGATATTCTGGGTAGTTGATGTGTTTTTGGGTTATTTTAAGCTGAAATTGTTATTGACTTTGTTCGGTAGTGTAGAGTGGTTTTCCAGGTGGTTGCAAAGTAGCCGGTTTCAGTGATATTCTGGGTAGTTGATGTGTTTTGGGGGTTATTTTAAGCTGAAATTTTTATTGACTTTGTTCGGTAGTGTAAAGTGGTTTTCCAGGTGGTTGCAAAGTAGCCGGTTTCAGTGATATTCTGGTAGTTGATGTGTTTTTGGGTTATTTTAAGCTGAAATTGTTATTGACATTGTTCGGTAGTGTAGAGTGGTTTTCCAGGTGGTTGCAAAGTAACCGGTTTCAGTGATATTCTGGGTAGTTGATAGGTTGTTGCTTAGCAGCTGCTATGGTATCGCAGTTGGTTGCTAGGGTGTTGACAGGTGGTTGCTAAGGTACATCAAGTGGTAGCTAAGATGTCGTTAGGCCATTATGTTATCCCAGGTGGTTCCTTAGATAGTTTGTTTGTAGCGTTGATGAGCGTTTGTAGTTTGTATTTAATGCATTATTGAATAGTAGCCGTATTATTATTGTGTATAAGTGCGTCTATGTGCATGTGTATGCAGTGTGTAATAACTGTGTAACTACTGTGTAATTACTGTGCATTAGTGTGTTTATATCGGAATCTGCTGGTAATGTCCATGAGTTTGAGAGTTGTCCATTGGCACATCTTATCATAAGCATATCCTTTGGGCAAAGTTTGTTGGTTCTAGCTCATAAGATAACTTAATTATTCCAAATTTCCCCTTGGCGAAATGAATAAAGCATATCTATCTATGTAATTGTAAAGACATCAAAACTAAAAAAAACACATGAAATTCCTACATTCCTACAAAAAAATTAAGCATTTAAGCATAAATCTGCAGAGAAAACGTCTTTAAGGTTATGAAAAACACACATTTAAGCAGGAGGGTCCAAACGTTTAACTGCTACTGTAAACCGACAGCACAAATATGCTTTCAGTCAAAGTGAAAAAAATAATATTCATCTGTATTGACACATCCTGCCCAGCGAACATGGGAAATAGCTTGTCCTGTAAGCTAAATGTTGCTGGACGATCATGACTACAGAAGCTTGGGGAAACCAGAGTGCAGGTGTTTAAACATGAGGAGCCGGAAAAGTTAAAATAAAATGAAAAAACAAAAAGTGCCACCGTCACAAAATATATCAGTCGACTGTCTCGGCTTGCTTAATAAACCTTGCTACGCTAACGTTACATCTTTAATTATTAGAACAAAACTTTGCATAAAAAACAACAAAAGAAAAACAGAGTTACAAGGTTTTGATCTGACAAAGCAAACATCTTTTCTCCAGTTTCGGCAAACTAAAGTCAAAATTGACGCTACAGTCCAAACTAAAGGGAATTTCTGTAAAGCTAATTTCACAGAAATGTTCAAATTTTGAAAGAAACAACAGTTTCACCAACATTTAAGCTAATAATTTATATCATCATGTCTATTATGAGATCATGAAACTTCCTAATTTTGGCGGAAGGTCATCACAAAAAGTACAAATCACTAAACTAAAGACATCCAAGAACAATGTAGTTGGGGAATCATCTGAACTGTTAAGCCGCAGTCACACTAGAGACGTGTTTACAGGCGAGATTAAAAATTTACAATGAAAAAAATTCTTCTATTTTGGTGAAGCTAAAAATAATAGTAGCTGTACTGTCTGTACTTTTGCTAAGCTTGCCAGTACTTGCTAGCTACATTAACTACATTATGCTATGCCATGTGGTTGCTAAGGTGTCGCTAGGCTGTTTTCTATGCTATTCCAGGTGGTTGCTAAGGTTTTGCTTGGCCAGAGCTATGCTATCTCATGTGGTTTCTAGGGTTTTGCTAGGCCATTGCTGTGCTAAGTTGGTGGTTGCTAAGGTTTTGCTATCATACTTGTATGATGGTGATGTATGGTGTCTTTGGCGGACTGTGGTGGTGAACTATTAAGCCACAGTCACACCAGAGACGTGTTTACAGGTGAGATTAAAAATTTACAATGAAAACAATTCTTCAATTTTGGTGCAGGTAGCAATTTAGCCGTGACTTTAGCAGCATTTCAGCTGTGGCTAGCGAGACTGTGGTGAAAATGAGGAAACCATCTAAACTGGCTGCTAGCCTAGCTAACTCGCTACGCTAAGATAGTCATACCATTTAATTCACAAAGACAGCATATTTATAATAAACTGTATATAATTATATAAACTGTTATGCTAAGAAGCTGCTAAAACGAGCTCTTTCTCCATTTTGGATCTGCTATAGGACGTTTTGCATGCGAAATTTCATTGCTAGCGTTAGCATCGGTTTGCTAGTGTGACTGGGCCGTTAGCATTAGCTCAAATGATAAACAGCCACAATGTTCTTGGGAAGCTCATTCCAGAACCTCAGTTCAGCTATTGGGAAGGAAAGTTGTCGCCCCCTGCTGTCCGCGTTCAAAACGCAGGTTAACAGCTTAACGTAAATATATTTGACATGTCTGAATTATTAGTTGACGATTAAGAAATACAGTTTTTAGGAGCGTTTCCCCCCAAAAAACTGACCACACAGCCCATGAGGTGCCACCAACACCGAGCTTTTGAAGCTCGACTGTATTTTAGCCTTTATACTTACATGGCTCAGCAAAACGTTCTGTTATTATATTGTATTTGTCGCTAATGTTGTTTTATGGTCACAAATTGACTGTTTCACCAAAGGTCTTAATCGGAAAAAAAACTCCCTTTGGCGAAATGAATGGAGATTCAAGGTTTGAACGTAGCCAGCAGATGGCGCGCTTTCCTTTCCCACAGGTTTTCCACCAGCCCAGCTGCCTCCTGGGGCACTTTCTGGAATTTCGCCCTTCATTTACAGACCTCCAAGCAGCATTCAGTAACATCTGTGTGCATTAAAAGCAAAACTACGCTATCCAGGCTATCTATTCAAAACGTTCAGCTTTAATTACGCTAACTAAATGAGCTAACTTAGGTGCAAAGTGCTCTCAAGTGGAGAAGGATACAAATTAGCATCGCATTCCGATGTATCTTTCAAATCCATTTAACATTCAAAGCAGAATCCGACCGACCGACATTCCGAGCCGCGTCTGAGCCGAGTTATCGCAAGGGCTCGAGTGGGAAAACATCGCAGTCGATGTTAAAATCTATTAAATCCATACTGATATACTTATCGTCGCTCACGACAACAAAAGAAGAATGTTATAATTTAACACTTTAGGAAAGTCGAATGTTAGTCCAGTACGCATGCAGTGCCTTTGTCTTCTCGACCTGAAACGAGGTGTGTTTTTACACAACTGATTAAAGAGGCAATGTCTGACACCACCTAACTTCTGTTTACAAAAAAAAAAGCAGTGCTTACAAATGACTTCTTATGTACACTTCACATCTTAATGAAAGCGACGTCTCGAGAACTTCATAGAAAGATGCAGATGAGTGACTGTGGTGAGAGATGAAAATAGGTCTGAAGCCCCGTTCGGTAATTGTTACAGCACCATGGATGAGTGTATCTGCAGGACTCCCAGGTTAGCTATGGATTCAATTTAGATTAGCTTAAATCGAGCTGAACAGACTAACTCTGGGCAGCTCCATGCTGGCTTAATCTGCACCAGTTAGCATGCTAACTTGACCAGCGGGCTTTGTTGCATTGTTGTTGTTGGAAGGCCTCTGTTGGCCCACCTGTTGAAGTGATTCCAGACCAGATCTTCAAAGGAACAGTTTAGTGTAATATCTAATTTACAGTTTCCCTCCTTACTGCAAATGCAGTCAATCAGCCAAGACAAGTTTGCTGATGTGCTCTCTGGCTCAGTACGACATGTTGGTAGCTATAAAATTGGTCAAAAGTATGAAAAATATAGCTAAAAATAACAGTAGCTGAACTGTCTGGACTTTTGCTAAGCTTGCCAGTACTTGCTAGCTACATTATGCTATCCCATGTGGTTGCTAAGGTGTCACTAGGCTGTTTTCTATGCTATTCCAGGTGGTTGCTAAGGTGTGGCTCGGCCAGAGCTATGCTATCTCATGGGGTTTCTAAGGTTTTGCTAGGCAATTGCTGTTCTAAGCTGGTGGTTGCTAAGGTCCTGCTAGGCCATCGCTGTGCTAAGCTGGTGGTTGCTAAGGTTCTGTTAGGCCATCGCTGTGCTAAGCTGGTGGTTGCTAAGGTCCTGCTAGGCCATTGCTGTTCTAAGCTGGTGGTTGCTAAAGTCCTGCTAGGCCATTGCTGTGCTAAGCTGGTGGTTGCTAAGGTTCTGTTAGGCCATCGCTGTGCTAAGCTGGTGGTTGCTAAGGTTCTGCTAGGCCATTGCAGTGCTAAGATGGTGGTTGCTAAGGTTCTGCTAGGCCATCCCTGTGCTAAGCTGGTGGTTGCTAAGGTTCTGCTAGGCCACCGCTGTGCTAAGCTGGTGGTTGCTAAGGTTCTGCTAGGCCACCGCTGTGCTAAGCTGGTGGCTGCTAAGGTTCTGCTATCATACTTGAATGGTGGTGATGTAAGGGGACTTTGGCTGACTGTGGTGGAATAATAGGTATTAGCATTACTTATTTCATAAGTGGAATGATTCCATTTCAGGATGTTGAGCGTTCCTCCATTCATTCCTATGGAAAAAACTCAAACGCCGTCTCAACACCGCTAGCCAAACCAGTTAAAAAGCACAAGCAACCTACTGGGGTAATGGAAACGTATACCCCACCAGTTAGCACTGTAGAAAACCTCGATGAGTTGCTGAGTAATCTCAAATAGACTTTCTGACACCGTATGACAAGTTGATGTCTATTAAATTGGATAAAATTATGTCACTTAGCTAAAAACAATAGCAGCATCTTGTCTGTACTTTTGCTAAGCTTCCTATTACTTGTTAGCCACATTAGCATCATAGCTCCAGTGCTAAACTGAAGAAGCGAACATGTCTTGTCTGCGTACATCTGAGTTACAGGAGGGAACTGGTTCAATCAGATTTCTGTCAAATACTTCTTTGAAAGGAGGCAGTTTTCTCGAGTTCTACAAAACACTGGGCGGCTCTTCATGGGCAATACTGTAACTACAGTGACATCCTGTGGTCACTGGATGTACTGCAGCCTTTCAACAAGTCTATACAACAGGAACACGAGACGACTATTTCTCTATCCGAGGCTCTGAGCCGTATTTGAAAAAGTGACAAAATCTCTGGATGTTCACTGTCGTCATGGTAACACTTTTAACCGCTTTAAGAAGAAAAAAAAGATGAAAGTATGAAAATGGAGCTCCTCGTTGGTTGCTAGGATACCGAGATGAGGCTGTGTCGGCCGTGTTGCCAGGCGACGGGGAGTTGAGTGGGTTCGGCTCATCAGGTGAACAGACTGAAAGGATTTTAGGAAGAAGTCAGATGAGATTCAGGAAAAGAAAACAAATAAGGTTTACTGTCATTTTGTAAGAGTGCAAAAACAAAGGCTGTTTCTGTATCGCTTTTACAGGCCATGACTGACTTGTACTCACATTTTTCGCATCTTAAGTGTTGTTTTTCTACTAAATTAGCTTAAAATACGTTTATTAGAGATGAGCCCATGGAGAGCGAGAGATTAAGACAATAAATGTAGACTTCAGCAGCAAAATGTGCCCAGAAACCACTGAAATTTGGCACGTTTTACATTTTAAAGCCATACAAATGGCAACAGAGCAATAAAACACTGAATATTTCAAAACTAAACCGTTCATTCATCATTATTAGAAACCTAAATGCTATATTTCTGACAGCAGCAAAATAAGAGGGCCATTGTGCCACCATTTTCATTCAGGATCTGAAGTTCAAGCCTCACAATCATTCACATACACCGATCAGGCATAACATTCTGACCACCTCCTTGTTTCTACACTCATTGTCCATTTTATCAGCTCCACTTACTATATAGGTGCACTTTGTAGTTCTACAGTTACAGACTGTAGTCCATCTGTTTCTCTGCATACTTTGTTAGCCCCCTTTTACCCTGTTCTTCAGTGGTCAGGACCCCCATGGACCCTCACAGAGCAGGTACTATTTGGGTGGTGGATCATTCTCAGCGAGTGTCCACTCACTGTCCACTCTATTAGACACCCTTACCTTGTTGGTCCACCTCGTAGATGTAAAGTCAGAGACGATAGCTCATCTGCTGCTGCACACTTTGTGTTGGTCATCCTCTAGTTCTTCATCAGTGGTCACAGGACGCTGCCCACAGGACGCTGTTGGCTGGATATTTTTGGTTGGTGGACTATTCTCAGTCCAGCAGCGACACTGAGGTGTTTAAAAACTCCAGCAGCACTGCTGTGTCTGATCCACTCAGACCAGCGCAACACACACTAACACACCACCACCACGTCAGTGTTACTGCAGTGCTGAGAATGATCCACCGTCCAAATAGTACCTGCTCTGTGAGGCTCCATGGGGGTCCTGACCACTGAAGAACAGGGTAAAAGGGGGCTAACAAAGTATCAGAGAAACAGATGGACTACAGTCTGTAACTGTAGAACTACGAAGTGCACCTATATAGTAAGTGGAGCTGATAAAAAGGACAATGAGTGTAGAAACAAGGAGGTGGTCATAATGTGATGCCTGATGTATGAGCCGAAGTCAGCGACGGCATTTAAAAAAAACAGGGCTATGAATTAAAAGCTGTATTGAAACTCCACGTCTTGTCAGTTCTTACCAGCTCTCTCTCACGGCCTCGATGTCACTCAGCAGATTCTGAGCCAAACAAATCCCAAAAATCTGAAACCAGAAAGAAAAACCTGCACATTCACCTTTATATCCTTTACATTTTTGTCCATTTTTGACATCAAAACAAACAGAAATTCAGACTCGAACCTGTCCACACAGCACACGTACGTAATGTATTACGTAGTTGGGTAATATTACATTATTATTAAATAGTTATGTAATGTAAATAGCCTAATCCAGTCACCTGTAGCAGCGCGATTCCTATGAAAATCCCGGCTACCACTGTGAGATGCTCCTGCAGCCACTTCTCAAACTGCGGCACACAGCCTTTAGTGTAAATAAACGTCTTCTGCTCCGACTCCTGCACCCAAACACACAAACACACCATCTGGTTTTCAAAAAGGTACGTTTTGGAAAAGGCCTCTGAACCCTCCTAATGCTGACCACACACTGGAAGACCTCGCGAAGACCTCGAGAAGACCTTGAAAGACTAAAGCCTGACACCCTCTCACATCTAAAGACAGTGTCACAGTTTTTAGTCACAGACTGTGATTTTGCAAATCTTGCAGGGTCACTATTTGCAAGACTGCAACTAGAGTTCTGAGTTTATTTCCCATCATGCACCTGGTGGAAATTTACAAGCAGATAAACCCTTTCCTTCCATTATATAGTGATATAGATGGGAAAATGCATTGGCTGGGCGTGTAAAGATCTGGGGCTCGGATTAGTTCATTGTAGAGCTGTTTACTCTGGCAGATCATCGCCCAGAATCTTTTAAATGAACCTGTAAAATAACGATTTACACATCAACACAACATGCAGCGATTCAGCATTGCTGATTGGGTGTTATGAACTAAACCAGGGGTGCACAACTCCGGTCCAGGAGGGCCGATGTCCAGCAGATTTTGGTAGCTGCCCTGTTCAAACACATCATCTAAACCTGGCAATTGACAGATGAGTATAATCAGGTGTGTCTGAGTAGGTAAATCACCAAAATGAGCTGGATGAAGCCCTCCAGGACCAGAGTTGTGCACCCCTGAACTAAACCATAAGAAACAAAATAAGAAACCAGTGTAACAGAAAGCAAAAAAAAAACATAGATGATTCTTTAATAAAGCCATTCTTAAAGTCATCTGCACATTTCCTTACATCACTGTTACACTCAGTGGACCTGAAATATTAAAACAGCCAGTTTACAGTTTAGGGTAATATGATTATTGTTTTAAAAGGGAGCAGATTTGCCTTTTTGTATAGAGATTTCAGGCACTCACGCATGCATTTTCTCCCTTGCCCTCTCTCTCTCTCTCTCTCTCTCTCACTCTCTCTCGCGCTCTTTCGCGTCGCGCCCATGCGCTCGCTCGCTTGCACTCGCGCACCCCTGGCACGTCACTATTTGCATGAGCCAAGACTTAAAACTTGTGATAATATTAAACACGGTTGATTTTGTCGTAGCGTCAAGACGAGAAAAAGACTGACTTAAGACGGCCGTCCGGACCACCTCACACTACACAATCGAGTTGACGCGAGTGCGACACGACTCTAGCAAGACTCTCATGATTTTATTCCGACACTGCAAATTTGTCTCCGACAGTGAAATCGCTTGAAAAGGTGTGAGGCCGGCATAATATAAGACTCGGCAGAGCAGAAAATGTTTTCAGCGACAGGTGTTATGGGTCAACAACAAGTTCTAAATATCTAACAGGTGCAATAACACCTCTAGAGGGCGGCGGTGAGTAATGTTTGTTTATTTGAGCTGGAGCTCATTGTGTTTTTAGTTTTAAATTCTCCTTGCAGTTGAGGCAAACGTAACTGAGAAACAATAGCTATGCTCACGTTACAAGCCTCGTTGCTCAAATCCGATTTTTTGCTCAAATCCGATCTCTCTGACACGATGGTTCACACTCGTTTAGGTGACTCAAATCTGTCATTAATGTGACGAACCGGCGTCCTGAAATGACCCTCATGAGCACATCCTACTCAGTAACGTCACGTTAATGAATCACGTTCATCATCAGCAACAAACTAACGAGCAGAACGAGCTTCGCTGAGAAGATAATTAACTCTGATCAGCTCTCAGCTTCATTATTAGAGCGAGACGAAGGAGAAAAAGGTGAGATGAGCTGCTTTTCCACCGTTACAGGCTTTAACTTCTGTTTGGCGCTGCTGCCATGGTAATGCTGAATGATGGTCCAGTGGAAAAAAGCACATGAATTCCGATCTGAGCGTCACATTAAGGTCACATGGCCACGAATCGGATACGTATCCAATCTAGGACCACATATGAAGGTGGCTCAGGTCGGATTTGAAAAGATCAGATTTGTGTCCACACAGCCATGAAAACATCAGATCTGAGTCACATTAGGGCAGAAAATCAGATTTGTGCCACTTCAGCCTGGTAATGTGAACGTAGTCAATCAGACTTACAGAACTCTTTACTCTTCCAGGTGAGGATAAAATCACCTCGCACTATTACATCACCACTAATATCACCAGAACAGAAACTATATACACTACACGAATGCTACTTTGAAAAACTTTGTAAAATGTTTGCTAAGGTATTAATAGCTAGCTAGGTGGCTAACATTATTAGCATGTTTGCAAACACTGTCCCATTACTGTCCAGTCAAAAATGAACAGATACGGTTTTGGGAAGATGATACAGGGTTATGTTGTGCTTGATTGGGTGATAAGGTCAGTGCAGATGGTCTAATATGGATGATGTTTCCTAAATGTTCTTTTAGCAGAACAATCTAGATGGACGAATGACAGAAGACAAAGTAATATTCAATAAAATGAAGATTTTTTCTGTTGTACTCACAACTTTAGCTCTGATGTCGTAACCACACTGAGTATTAATCACGTCCTCCTGCAGGGAAAGAGAGAAGAGTCAGAAAGAAACGCCTGCAATATCAGAAAAAAAGACTTTAATGTCTGCTATAGGGCAGCACTGCTGTGTCTGATCCACTCAGACCAGCACAACACACACTAACACACCACCACCACGTCAGTGTTGATTTTATCAAGAGAGCCACGAACAAGAGCACTATGATCACAGATTCTATCAGAGCAACATACAGCGTGCTGCAGCTGGGCTTCAGCCTGCACTACTACAGACGGGACTAAGGGGCAAGCATTAATGACACTGAAAAAATGTGTGGTGTTAATACAAATTATTTACATTTTAAATGTGAATTTCTTTACAGTCGAGGTGATATGAACCAGGGGTTGCCATGTGCACAACGCAACACCAATATAGTGTTATATGGAACGTTGATGATGATGGTAAAATAGTGGAAAAAACTGAGAAAATCTGTTTTCTTTCGGGGCTACTTTGCCTCGCATCACCTGCATCTACCCCTCCTCCATGAACGGATTTTAAAAAATCTGTTTTATTGTTCACATATATTTCACGTAATAACTTCCTGTGAGGGAGCTTTTAGAGGTGGACGTCTGGTTCCTATCACCACCACTGTGAACAACCCTGACTTTCTCTAGAACAGAGCATTTCACAGCAAACCACTCTGAATGATCTGTTTACATCTTAATCATTGAATTATGTTGATTTTTTTAAATTCCCCTTTTAACTTTGACATGACTATTAACTACATTTTAAACGTGTGGGAAAATAATGATAAAAACTCTGGACTCGTATGGGTTAACGTTCTGGACATTCTGTCGCTGTAAGTGAAAGACGACCTTGAGTGTTTGTATTGTGTCTGCCACAGACAGGAAGCCGCTGCACCATCCTGTTTACAGTCTCGGGGTCTCTGGAAATGAGGAGTGACGTTCTGAGGTGGTGATATAAGTGGTGGTACAGTGTGTGGTGTCTGGACTCACAGCAGGGTCTTTTGTGCAGCAGGAAAACGGCACTCCACATTTCTCCCGGCTCAGGTTGGTTTCGGTGCAGTTGAAGTAGATGTTCAGATTCCAGTCCTCCGGCCCAAACGCTCCACAGCACTCCCACTGCACACACATACACACGCACCTATCATCTCAGTACCTATATGTAATATACACCGGTCAGGCGTAACATTATGACCACCTCCTTGTTTCTACGCTCATTGTCCATTTTATCAGCTCCACTTACTATATAGGTGCACTTTGTAGTTCTACAGTTACAGACCGTAGTCCATCTGCTTCTCTGCATACTTTGTTAGCCCCCTTTTACCACTGTGTCCACTCACTGTCCACTCTATTAGACACTCCTACCTTGTCGGTCCACCCTGTAGATGTAAAGTCAGAGACGATAGCTCATCTGCTGCTGCACAGTTTGTGTTGGTCATCCTCTAGTCCTTCATCAGTGGTCAGAGGACGCTGCCCACAGGACGCTGTTGGCTGGATATTTTTGGTTGGTGGACTATTCTCAGTCCAGCAGCGACACTGAGGTGTTTAAATACTCCATCAGCACTGCTGTGTCTGATCCACTCAGACCGGCACAACACACACTAATACACCACCACCACGTCAGTGTTACTGCAGTGCTGAGAATGATCCACCACCCAAATAGTACCTGCTCTGTGAGGGTCCAGGGGGGTCCTGACCACTGAAGAACAGGGTAAAAGGGGGCTAACAAAGTATGCAGAGAAACAGATGGACTACAGTCTGTAACTGTAGAACTACAAAGTGCACCTATATAGTAAGTGGAGCTGATAAACTGGACAATGAGTGTAGAAACAAGGAGGTGGTCAGAATGTTATGCCTGATCGGTATATATATATATATATATATATATATATATTTACATATAATAATATTATTCTTATACTTACGAATTCCTGTGTGAAGTCGATGAGGTTCTGCAGGTCGATGTCGTCTCTGTAGGCTCTGATGTTGTTGTTGATGAAGAATTTAAGCTGATCTTTGATCCAGTCTTTAAAGACGAATGCCAGAACTCCAGTGGTCAGCTCCAGGAAAAATATAATCCCCAGGAACACGGAAAACTGGAGGAGAGGACGGAGGACAGAGAATGACATTAGCTGTGAAGCTGTGATTTGTGTTTTAGGGCACTACTGAGTACATTGGTCATTTTTCTCCTAGTGTCCAAACTGTGGGATGGACTTCCAGAATGATTCTGAGGGCAATATATTCTCTATTGTGAGTCTCTTGTTACTGAGCAATGGGCCGAATTTTAACCACTTATTTACCCACATATGAAATATCAATGATCAACCTAATCATTAGTTCATTGATAATCACAATTCATACATTTTTAACATACAATATTAATTATTCACTTAGTTGCATAAAAACTCATAATGGTCATGAATAACAACTATTTGTCTTCATCCTGTTTTAAATGATAACCTTGCCACAGCTGGATTACCATAGCAATGGCCTAGTGACACCTTAGCAACCACTTGGAATAATATAGTAACAAAACAGCAACACCTTAGCAGCCACTTGGGATAACGTAGTAATGATATAACAACACCTTAGCAACTATGTGGAATTCTGTCGCAATGACCTAGCAACATCCTATCAACCACTTGGTAAAGCACAGCACCACCTTAGCAACCACCTGAGATTTCATTGCAACGACCTAGCAACACCTTAGCAACTCCTTGGGATAACATAGCAACGACATACCAACACCTTAACAACCACTTGGGATTACATAGCAATGGCCTCGCGACATCTTAGGCACCACCCAGGAAAACACAGCAACAAACAGTTGCAAAACAAGTCATGAGACTCCTGAGAGTTAAGGCGCTGCACTTCTCTCACTTTGTACTCGCTGACCGCCAGAAAACACAGCCCACCCTGATGACATCACTGACTGTAAGCAGATGTTGGTGAAAGTGAACGAAGCCACTGAGTCTCTCTCTCTCTCGCTCGCTCACTCACTGGGAACAGACGCTCTTTTATTCAGTTTCTGAGAGACTGAGAGAGAAAAACAAGAGAGTGGAAAAGTTCACAGTCCAGTCTGAACCTGATTCAACTCCTCCGGGCGGTGGATTTTGGCCTTAAAGGGGAATTCCACCACAGTGGTGGTGATAGGAACCAGACGTCCACCTCTAAAAGCTCCTTCACAGAAATTGTTGCATGAATAGTTATTAATACACTACCTGATGTCTGAGACACGGTTATATGATAGATTTGGGAAGATTTTGGCCTCAAAATCCATTCATGGTGGAGGGATACATTATATGCAGGATGTTGTGAGGCAAAGTAGTCCCCAAAGAAAACTTTCAGATTTTCCACTATTTTGCCATCATCAACGTTCCACATAAAACTCAGAAGACATGTGTAGGTTCACTGGTGGTTTTGGATAGGAACCACCTTAGCAACCACCTGGGGTTTCATAGCAATAACCTAGCAACACCTTAGCAATCACTTTGGATAATGTAACAACAACATGCCAACACCTTAGCAACCACTTGGGATTCCACAGCAATGGCCTAGCAACATCTTAGCAACCACTTGAGATTCCACAGCAATGGCCTAGCAACATCTTAGCAACCAGTTGAGATTCGACGGCAATGGCCTAGCAACATCTTAGCAATCACTTAGTATAACAAAGCAACACCTTAGCAACCACCTGGGATTTCATAGCAATGACTTAGCAACACCTTAGCAATCACTTGCGATAACATGGCAGTGACATGCCAACACCTTAGCAACCATATAGGGTTCCATAGTAATGGATAGCAACATAATAGCAACCATTTGGGATTCCACACAATGGCCTAGCAACATCTTAGCAACCACTTGAGATTCAATGGCAATGGCCTAGCAACATCTTAGCGATCACTTGGTATAACAAAGCAACACCTTAGCAACCACTTGGGATTTCATAGTAACAGCGTAGCGACATCTTTGCCACCAACATAGCAACACCTTAGCAATGACCTGGGATAACATGGCAATGACATGCCAACACCTCAGCAACCACTTGGGATTCCATGGCAATGACCTGGCAACATCTTAGCAACCACCTGAGATAACACAGCAACACATTAGCACCACCTGGGAATTCATAGCAATGACCTAGCAACACCTTAGCAATCACTTGGGATAACATGGCAACGGCATCCCAACACCTTAGCAACCACCTGAGATAACATAGCAACACATTAGCAACCACCTGGGAATTCATAGCAACGACCAAGCAACACTTTAGCCACCAGATTTGATACAGAATGTTAAAAAAATCCATAATTGTAAAATCTCTTTGTTTCAGCATTTAGACAAAGTTTCAATTCAAGAATCGAACTTTAAATTATTATTTTAAATACTTAAAATGTTTTATGCAAGCAGCCCCACGACTTCCGCTGCAGTCATGACAACCAGGAGCTCCTACTTCCTGCCTAAAAGTGCTCCTGCAACTTCAGTATTCCAGAATCAGACTCACAAACTTGAGCAGGAAGGAGTTTTCCCGCAGCGCTCCGATGCAGCCGGCAAAACCCAAAACAAACATCACCCCACCGACCACCAGGAACAACCAGACCGGATCAAAGCCCCCCAGATCAGTGATGGAGGAGATGTTAGAGAGAACTCCCTGAGAAAGAGACAGAGAGAGAGAATGGGGAGAGAGAGAGAGAGAGAGAGAGAGAGTAAAAGTTATTACATTGTATGTGGTAATTTCAGGTCATGTAAATGTACTTAGTGCTCATGAACGATCAGGTGTGATAGTGAGTGATAGTGAGCGATGGTGAGCGATGGTGAGTGACGGTGAGTGATGGTGAGCGATGGTGAGCAATAGTGAGTGATGGTGAGCGACAGTGAGCGATGGTGAGTGATAGTGAGCGATGGTGAGTGATGGTGAATGATAGTGAGTGATGGTGAGCGATGGTGAGTGACAGTGAGCGATAGTGAGTGATAATGAGCGACAGTGAGCGATGGTGAGTGATAGTGAGCGATGGTGAATGATAGTGAGTGATAGTGAGCGATGGTGAGTGACAGTGAGTGATGGTGAGCGATGGTGAGTGATGGTGAATGATAGTGAGTGATGGTGAGTGACAGTGAGCAATAGTGAGTGATGGTGAGCGACAGTGAGCGATGGTGAGTGATAGTGAGCGATGGTGAGTTATAGTGAGTGATGCTGAGCGATAGTGAGTGACGGTGAGAGATGGTGAGTGATGGTGAGCAATAGTGAGTGATGGTTAGTGATGGTGAGTGACAGTGAGCGATGGTGAGTAATGGTGAGTGATGGTGAGCGATAGTGAGTGATGGTTAGCGATGGTGAGTGACAGTGAGCGATTGTGAGTGATGGTGAGTGATGGTGAGCGATAGTGAGTGATGGTTAGCGATGGTGAGTGACAGTGAGCGATGGTGAGTGATAGTGAGCGATGGTGAGTGATGGTGAATGTGTTCACCCACCTTCTCGCTCCAGGCCCATAAAGCCACGGAGAGGAACGCCACCCCCAGCAGCTAAGGAGCAGAACACAATCAGACCAGCTCAGTTTCACTTCACAAACAGCAGCGCCGACTCATAACACTTATACAGAGCCACCATCAGTTCATATAACACCCCACATTCTTTACCATTACAACATAAGAATAACCCAAACCATTCGTATTGTTTCCCATGTAATTACTGCGTTATAATACTTAGGATGTAATCAAATTCTGAGAGTTTAAGAGGTTAAACATATTACTACTTCCACAACTACTATTATTATTATTATTATTATTATTATTATTATTGTTGTTGTTGTTGAAAATGGCAGAGTATTTTAATAATATGCATACAATATTGTGAAAAAGACATCAAAGCATGGACTTTAAATTATTTAAAACCATTTATTTTTGCAATTAGTCTGATGTAAATCTGCATGTAGAGCACCATATGTCATTAGAATTAATACAAATTAACATAAACAAGAAATTATTGATTCTAGAAAAAAAAACTCTGTTATGAGATGATAAGAAGAACAGAGTTTGTTTCCACATCTCCTCAAACGGGTTTAACTTCCATAACAGCACACTTGACGTAACATAACGAAGTAGGGAATGGATGATAACTTCGAATAACATTGGGTTTCCTTAAGGAGAAGTCTGGAAATTCTCAAACAAACACAATGACAGATGCAGAATCACTACTTATTGTATTAATGTAGTGTTTTCATTCTAATGTTAGCGGTTTTTTTTGAGCAAATAAAAGATTACTACCCTATTACACCTTTATTTAACCCCTTAAATTCCCAGGGCCCACCGCCAGGCCCAAAGTCTTATTACACACTTCTATAACCTAAGAATTGCTCAACCAGTTTGCACTGAAGTCCCTGTGGTTAATGAATAATAAGCCTTAGTATGTAATAAGCCTGAGATTTTGGGGGTTAATTACATTTTCTCAAGTGCCAATGAATTTTTTCATATTGAGTAATGTATATAACAATAACAACAATGCTAACTGTATATTTGCTTAAAGAGTAACTCCACCATTTTTTTTGTATAGAAATCTGGACCTTTACAATCAACCACTTCACACCAGACCACTCTGAATGACTCTGTTTACACCTCAACCTCGGAACTCTTTTGAAAAATTGGTGGAAATCCCCTTTCACTTCAGTGCTTGGACCCCTAAGAATCGCAGATGTAATGGGACTAAAACGTGTGGCTAAAGCAGTGATTTAAATCTGGGGTTAAAATTGAGGAGGTTCGCCAGTTTAATGTTCCGTTTTTCCCGTTCCACCTTAAAAGCTGCAGCAATTACATTCTGGAGCCTCGGTCGCCACAACGTAACAGCTGCACCATTTAACTCTGCAGACATTTTGAAAGATTGGTGGAATTCCCCTTTCACCTCAGTGCTTGGACCCCTAAGAATCGCCGATAGGACTCAGCTCTGTGGTGACACCGATCTGACAGATATGTTGATTTGGGGTTCGTAAAGGTGCTGCAGCCAGTAAAACAGATGTTATGGGACTAAAACCTGTGGCTAAAGGAGTGATTTAAATTTGGGGTTAAGACTGAGGAGAAACAGCCGCGGTTCTCCAGCCTAATGTTCGAGTTTTTCCGGTCCACCTTAAAAGCCGCAGCGGTTACATTCTGGTGCCTCGGGCGCCACAACGTAACAGCTGCAGCATTTAAGGTGGACCGGAAAAATTCGAACAAGAAGCTGTGTCCTCACCCAGAAGATGATGTTGAAGCCGAAGATGAAGTATTTGATGCAGCAGCCCACTTCGTGGACGTTGAAGTGTTTTCCCGACATGATGTCGGCGTTTTAAAGCGATTCTTCAGCCGCCGTTTCGACACAGAGCGCTGATCATCGTCCGTTCATCGCCGCTCTGAGCCTCAGCATCCACACCGCCCCGGCTCTCTCTGCGTATATATCACTGAAAATACACTGAAATACGAGGTCTAGTTGAGCGGACGAAGCCTGACCGCTGATCAGGTCCGAATAACGGAGCGGCGCTCCCTAGAAAAAAAGGACTTTTGTGACGGCAGAGGCCACTTCCGGTCAATTTAATCTCCCCCAACGCATTTTCTTCAAAATAAAAGTTGGGTTATTTCAGGAGGCGGAGGGTTTCGCGCTACTTAAAGTGAGCGAATGACTCGCCTTCAAATTTCAAGTTCATTGAACTCCACATAATAATTATGATTATTGTTCTGTTAACTTACTTTCAGACATTCACTGATCTCATTTTTTTTTTACATTTTTTTTAAATTATACCATCAAATCATTTTCTACAGAGTGAGGTGAAAAAAATTTGAAAATGAATATTAGCCAGCCATTCCAGTATAAAAGCTGTGAAGGTTCGCTGGTGGTTTTGGATAGTAAATGAAATGTCTATATCTGTGTCGTAGACATGGTGACCCCTGGTTCCCATCACCACCACTGTAAAGAGCCTCTACAATCAAGCATTTCACACCAAACCCCTCTGAACGACCCTGTTTACATCTCAAAGCCTAAACTGTGCAGGAATATCGGTGGAAATTCCCCTGAAATTCAGAGACGTCCAGAGAGAGAAAGTACAAGCTTGCGTAGGACTTTTAACATGTCACAAAGAGAAGCGGAAGCTGCGTCTATAGCATGCAGACTTCCTCCGTTCGGTGTGGCGGTTGGAGGAAGAGCAGAGCGCGGCTCCGTTTCTCTCTCCGTTTTCTCTCCGTTTTCCGCTCTTTGCTCGGTTTATCTGCTCGGAGCTTTTGTGTTCGGGTTCTGCTCTCTGTTTCAGGCGGGTTTGCGGGATAATACGAGCTGAGATGTCCGCGGAAGAGGCGGAGAAAGCGGCCGTGCAGGAGCCGAGCAGCGCGGGGGACGAGGAGGAGGAGTGGCTGTACGGAGGTCGGTTAACTGTGTGATAATATACATAAATACACTGATAGGAGGAGGAGTGGCTGTACGGAGATCAGCTCAGTGTGATAATATACATAAATACACTGATAGGAGGAGGAGTGACTGTACGGAGATCAGCTCAGTGTGATAATATACATAAATACTCTGATAGGAGGAGGAGTGGCTGTACGGAGATCAGCTCAGTGTGATAATATACATAAATACACCGATAGGAGGAGGAGTGGCTGTACGGAGATCAGCTCAGTGTGATAATATACATAAATACACTGATAGGAGGAGGAGTGACTGTACGGAGATCAGCTCAGTGTGATAATATACATAAATACACCGATAGGAGGAGGAGTGGCTGTACGGAGATCAGCTTAGTGTGTGATAATATATATAAATACCCTGATAGGAGGAGGAGTGACTGTACGGAGATCAGCTCAGTGTGATGAGATGCATAAATACACCGATAGGAGGAGGAGTGGCTGTACGGAGATCAGCTCAGTGTGATGATATACATAAATACACTGATAGGAGGAGGAGTGGCTGTATGGAGATCAGCTCAGTGTGTGATAATATACATAAATACACCGATAGGAGGGGGAGTGGCTGTATGGAGATCAGCTCAGTGTGATGATATACATAAATACACTGATAGGAGGAGGAGTGGCTGTACGGAGATCAGCTCAGTGTGATGATATACATAAATACACTGATAGGAGGAGGAGTGGCTGTACGGAGATCAGCTTAGTGTGTGATAATATACATAAATCTACTGATAGGAGGAGGAGTGACTGTACGGAGATCAGCTCAGTGTGATGATATACATAAATACACTGATAGGAGGAGGAGTGGCTGTACGGAGATCAGCTCAGTGTGTGATAATGCACTGATAGGAGGAGGAGTGGCTGTACGGAGATCAGCTCAGTGTGTAAACAATAGAAATAAATGTTTACATTTATACTGATAAACACTGTTTATTCACTCTGTGACTGGAACCGGATTGTTTCCTATGAAATGTGAACAGGAACAAAAATCCAGAATCCACTTTCTTCGTAATCCTATTCATACGTGTTCCTATGTATTTGTGCATGTGTAGTTTGAAATCGTTTGATGTGAATGATGGACAAATAAACAATCAAGAAAACGCGAAGAAGAAAAATCAGATTTTTTAAAATTCCAGTGTAAACCCATAAATTAAATAGTACGTTTTCATGTAATTTTAAATTTGAGTTCAAATCTTAATCATACTGCATGAACAGTGAACCAAAAAAAGAAAACACAGAATCAGACTTTTTTCCCCAGTTTGTCCAAACCACATGTTCATACATACTCCTGAATTCGAATTATCAGATTTTTTGTGCATGAAATTGGAATTTGATCGTTTTTATGAGGGAAGCGAGTAAAGAAAGGCCTCAGAGTCTGGATTTCTAATGTCCACTTCAGACCCATATTTTAATTTGTATGCTTTTCGTGTGTGATTTGAAATTTGATTCCAAATCTGATTTATTTCCACATCAGGTTGTAATCGTAGTGTGTGAACAGTGAAAAAAGGAACAGAATCTGATTTTGTTTACATCTTAAATGTTTAACTATGCAGAAATTTTGAGAATTCTGCTTTAATAAGCGAGTGACCGGTTTAGCTTTACAGGCTTTGCTCTTAGCTTGATCTGGTCAGCGTCTTTCTGCTTAAATGTTGTTTCTGTTTATGCAGATGAAGGAGAAACCAAAGAAAACGAGGAGGAGGAGGAGGCCAAACTGACCGCAGCCATCAGGTGAGCAAGTCGCTTCTAATAAGTATCACAACACATCAAGCGTATTGAACGACCGGGTAAAATAAAGGGGCTTTCATGGAAGAGCTTAGACTGTATTTTAGTTCTGATCATTCGCTGAATCAGACGTCTCGGTGAAAAAGTGTGAATGCTGGCAAATCGTGATTGAAACGTCTGTTTGGGTGTGATGTCGTCTTTAGGGATGCCTGTAACAATAACCAGTAACTAACACCTGTAGGAGTGGGTGATGTGACAAAAACAAATGATCATACTATAGAAAAAAGGCCCAATCCCATTTCACCCCTCGCCCCTACCACTCAGCCCTTAGCCCTCTGTTTTGTGCCTTCACGTCTAGGGGTAGGGTCTCCCGGTTTGTGTTGAGATAGAGGGGTAGGGCGAAGTGTTAGGGGCTACATGACCCTCCAAACGGAGGTTTTTCAGAGACTCCAAACAGAGAGTTATGAGAAAAAAGAAAAACCGGCAAGACGGCTGAACAAGAGACCAAAGAAACCCACAAATGTGAGAATTTTCTCTGTTAAAAATTACGATAATCACTGTTTTATCTTAGTTTAGTGTCGTTTCAGTGTATTTTGGTTGTTTTCTTCATAACAAGCATAAAAATTGCTAATAGCATGCTAATGTCTCGGTAGCTAGCTAGCTAACTTTCCCGTTCCACCTTAAATAGTCCAGCAGTTCTGATGCCTGAAGCGCCAGAATGTAGCTGCTGCACCATTTAAGGTGGAACGAGAAAATTTGAACAAGAAGCTGGTGAATGTCTGACTTCAGCTTCGTATCACTGAAGAATTAGTGGTGGGTGATAATAAATAATTGCCCCCCTCTTTGAAGGCATATGATGCCCTAAATGTAACTAAAGCCCAGCAGTGAGGAGCTGAACTTTACCCTCCTCTGCTGTCACTGCAGACTGGCAGGGTCGCCTACAGAGCAGCGCTGGTAGCTGTTAATGAAGTGATGCTCTTTTTATTTGAGGGTCACATTTCAGAGGGAAGATTTCAACCACTACTCTGTAACTCAGTTCCAAGGGGTTAGGGTGATGCTCAAAAACAAGGGGTAGGGGTCAAAAGAAGCAATGGGATTGGGCCTTAGTGACACGTAAAAATTACTGTCAAACATTCAATGATTTTTTTTTATTTTATTTTTTATAATTTAACTTTTATTTTGTATGTGGAAGAGTGGGTTATATTTATGGGTCATATGTGTGGATTATATAGAGAATTATATTATTTTATTATTTATCTGTAAACAGTTTACTGGCAGCCAGTATCTTGTACAACACCAGTCTTCCTGTTTATATGTAGAAGTAACAGAGGCGGATTTGGAAGCCTAAGTTGAGCCTAATTGGTCAGTCCAGTTCATGCTGTAACTGGTGTGGTTTGATTGATCTCCCTGCTTTTCTCCTCAGCGCCCCAGCTGCCCCTCCTGTTACTGACGAGGTCCCCGCTGGCAATGGAGTGGCCACTAAGGTAAAAGCAGATCTAGGGTTACAGTGAATTTAAGTCCTGACCGAAATATTGATCATCTGATAATATGGGTAAATACTGAGGTCTCTCAGATTTATTGGTATCAGTGTAAGAAACGGGCACCTGTGCTCTTTTTCAGCCAAGTTAAGGCAGGTAAACATCTACAACTTCGAAAATCATGATGGAATTTTTTTTTGTTAAAATCAGTGGAGAGTTTAATGTGTCGTTACTCACTGGAAGCTGATTTAGAACTTTGGCAACCAAAGCTGTGACAGAGTTGAGAGATTTAGGAGCAAAATGTGTAAACATGAGGCTTGACATCCACCAATAGGGGAACAGCGTGGCTCAAAATCCATCAATAGGGGAACAGCATGATTGAAATCCACCAACAGGGGAACAGCATGATTGAAATCCACCAACAGGGGAACAGCATGATTGAAATCCACCAACAGGGGAACAGCACGATTGAAATCCACCAGCAGGGGCACAATGTGATTGAGATCCACCAATAGGGGAACAGCATGGCTCGGAATCGACCAGTGGGGTATGGCGTGGCTCAGAATCCACCAATAGGGGAACGGTGTGATTGAAATCCACCAATAGGGGAACAGCATGGCTCGGAATCCACCAATAGGGGAACAGCATGGCTTGGAATCCACCAATAGGGGAACAGCATGGCTTGGAATCCACCAACAGGGGAACAGCATGGCTCTGTATCCACCAATAGGGGAACGGCGAGGCTTGAAATCCACCAATAGGCGAAGGGAGTGGCTTAAAATCCACTAGTAGGGAAACGGTGTGGCTTGGAAACCACCAATAGGGAAACTGCATGGCTCAGTGTCCACCAGTAGGCGAATGCCATGGCTCAGAATCAAACAACAGGGAATTGCCGTGGCTCGGAACCCACCAATAGTTAAATGGCTTAACTTGAAATCCACCAATATGGGAGCGCCGTTGCTTGAAATCCAACAGTAGGGGAACTATATGGCTCGAAATTCACCAAAAGGGAAACAGCGTGGCTCAGAATCCACCAACAGGGAATTGGCGTGGCTCGGAACCCACCAGTAGTTAAACGGCTTCACTTGAAATCCACCCATAGGGGAGTAGGGAGACTCTGAATCCACCAATAGGCAAATGGTGTGGCTCGTAATCTACTAGTAGGGAAACTCATAATCCACCAGTACGGGATCAGCGTTGGAAGCACAGATTAAGTGGGCGGAGCTGAATGTGATCATTTTCCTGCGTTGCTCGCTGATGATAATGATCACTATGTAATCTGACTGCAGCCCATGGCGACATACATGGTAACACAGTATGAGGGAATTTTACTGAGGTCTTATAGGGATCGTCTCGTTCAGTGTCTCATACAGTAAACTGCTGTTATTCCATAGTTTACTGAGGGCTTTACACTCTCACAGAACCAGACCGTTAAACAGGTTCTTACCGTTTTAATAGAAAAGGAACCTATTTAGCCTCAGCATATCTAGGAGAAATGAAACACTGTTCCTGTAGCTTCAGCGGTGTGACGGTGCTGTGTTTTACAGGAGGAAGCCCCTGGAGAGGATGAAGACAGCGAGAGCGACAGTGATGATGATGACGATGATGTCCGCGTCACCATCGGTGACATTAAGACGGGCGCGCCGCAGTACACGTGAGTATGATGAGTTACTGAAGGGAGCCCTACGTTTAACAGGAGTCCTCATCTAGTCTGAGAGACCCGGCCTTGTTTTAACGGACCAGTATGAGCCACATTAGTCCTGACTCAGTTCTGATCCTTTATTAAGCCTCTTTTTACCACCCATTAAAAATAAACATAGTGTCCGATGTTTGTGTTCAGTGTGTCGCTCTTCACCTTTATTCCAGCTTCCCTTCTTTTCAGGAGACTCACTTTCAGTTCCTCAAAGAATCTGCAGACGCTCCTCCAAAGTTCAGTCTTAGAAGTTTTAGGTTGATCATTTTCTGAAGTAATCAAACACATTCAGTGATTTTTGAGGCCTGGACTCTGGGGTGACCAATAGGGGGAAAGCCATGGCTCAAAATCCACCAATTGGGAGCTTTAAGTGCTGTTTGTCTGAGTTAAAACACTCAGATTGGGAGGGGAGCTGAAACAATTGGATCATGAAACCCCATTCAAATGACTTACACTGATGTTGCTGTTTGGTACTTTGCGTGACTGTGATGTGCTGCATTGTAAATTTGTGCTGTGCTGTGTTTTTTCAGGTCATACGGGGCAACACCGGTCAATCTGAACATAAAGACCGGCACCAGCAGGCCTTATGGAGCAGGTACAGACAGCGACTCTGTCCATGTTACTGTCATTAAATCATAGTGTTAAAATGAATCATGTTGGCTGGGGGCTTTACAGATAGGCGAAATGTGCTACGATCAAACCACCGTTATTAGAGAAATAAAAATGAATTTTCTATTATACTGTTTTCAAAAACTCTTTACATCCAAAATAGTCGATACACAGCATTGTGGGATTAAACTCTACAAACGACATGATACAAATCTGTAAATTAGACAGACTGTGCGGTTCTATTGTAAAGCTAATGGATGTTATCAGTGGATGTGTTGTGCACATTTGCATTGTTATTGCTGGGAATGCTTTAATTAGGCGTTTTATATCAGATATTAATAGTTATTTGTGTCCAATTTTGACCGTATTGCTCCTCCGTCTCAGTTAAGGATGGTAACGTATTTGTTGGTCGTGTGTTTTTGCGATTTAGTGGGAACGAAGGTGAAAGGTGTGGATCTGGACGCTCCAGGAAACATTAACGGCGTCCCCGTGCTGGAGGTGGACATGGAGTCCTTTGAGGAAAAACCCTGGAGAAAACCTGGTCAGTGTCTTTTAGTATTTATTTTTAAATGTTCCTCACTTTTTACAAAAAAAATCTGTACTAGTTTAATGATGAATGTAAACACTGTTAAACTTTTAAAAACATATTGTTCGCTTGACAGTTCATAAGTGGAAACTAAGCCTGTGATGTCACAAAAACAAACATGTTTACATATATTGCATATTCAGTGTAGCCCCGCCCACTCACACTGAGGTTATACAGAGTGTTCCAGCCCGGGCTGCTTTTTTGAACGAGGCACAGCCAATCAGAACCAGAGCTCATTCAGTCTTAAGGACGCAGTAACAAAAGCAGCCTGTTTAATTGTGAGGGATAAAGAGAGGCTGGAAAACGGTCATGTAGAAATGAATTATGATATTTTTGATACATGAAACCACACAAACCAAGTGGACCTAAATAAAATAAAAGAAAAAAGACAAGAAATGTGTAGGATATGGGCCTTTTAATCTCAGATCCAGCTCATTACATGTGACTAGTATCTGAATTCAGTCAATCGTTTAACCTGTATGTAAACTTGGAGTACATTGAGGGTGACTCACATTCACAGTGCAGCCCAGCTTTATACAAAAAGAAGGGACTGAAAAGAGTAAATATGCAGTTGTGATAGTAAAAGTAGTGAAAGTATAGCAACGAAAATAAAATATGACACAAAAAAAATTGTATTAAAACAGTACATAAAAATAACAGTTAGGAAACCTTAAGACAAATCAAGAAAGCCGAATTAAACGCATTAGTAATAAAATCCATTAATAATAAACATAAGTCAAGAGAACAAAAAGAGAACAATAAAGTTAATGATATTAAAACAATAATAGCAATGATGAAGTGGTAAAATAATAAGTGAAATAAATGGCAATAAAAAAAGATAAATCAACCGAAAGAACTAAAATAAAATAGTTTTATAAAACACATATGTTTTTACACACACACACACACACACACACACATATATATATATGAATTATGATATTTTTATTATATATATATATAAACTAAATCAACTAAAATAGTTGAAAAAAGTAGGCAAAACTACAAAGTCAGTCATTTGTCTGATGCGTATCTGTGTATTTATGTGCTGCACTTCTTATTCACTACTTATTCTCTCTTTCGTGTTGGTCTGCAGGCGCCGACCTGTCAGACTACTTTAACTACGGCTTTAATGAGGAGACGTGGAAGGCCTACTGCGAGAAACAGAAGCGCCTGCGCATGGGCATCGACCCCAACATCAGCTCCACCACCAGCAAGATCTCCGTAAGTCCTGCTGAACCTTCTGACTACTGACTAACCAGATGTTTCCCAATAGTGTGATCTATAAAAACAGCTAAAAACACACCGATCAGGCACAACATTCTGACCACCTCCTTGTTTCTACGCTCACTGTCCATTTTATCAGCTCCACTTACTATATAGGTGCACTTTGTAGTTCTACAGTTACAGACTGTAGTCCATCTGTTTCTCTGCATACTTTGTTAGCCCCCTTTTACCCTGTTCTTCAGTGGTCAGGACCCTCACAGAGCAGGTACTATTTGGGTGGTGGATCATTCTCAGCACTGCAGTAACACTGACATGGTGGTGGTGTGTTAGTGTGTGTTGCGCTGGTCTGTAGAAACAGGGAGGTGGTCAGAATGTTATGCCTGATGAGTGTTTATAAGAACGTATATGAAAGTAGTGTTTTAATCTAATATTTTTAGCTGCCGAGGTCGTTAACTCTGCTAATTCTCTGAATAGTCAGTGCCGTTGTGAGTGAATGGTCAGCTGCCTTTGTCCTCCTTTCCAATAAAGAGCCCAAATGTTTTCGCGTTCAGCGACTGAACCACTCGGCATTCCTGAAACTGCGAACGGAGATTTGAACGCAATCAGCTTCAATCCATGAAGTCAAGCGCCAGCCTACTAGCACCTCATTTGCATATCATTTACATGAAGCAGGCCCTAATTCATGCGGATATTTCGGTCGGGAGCCAATAAAACGACAGCGTTCAGCAGCTTGCGAACCGATGGCTGTGCTTATTGGAGGAGTTTGAGGTGGGGCAGTGAGTGCACAGCTCCCCCTGCTGACCAAACTTAAGTGTTAAAATTATGACAACTGAAAAAAAAATCAAATTGAAAATAAACAAAACAGCTTAGTTTGTTTTTAGGCAGTGGAATGATGTGATTGTGTAATGCGATTAAAATTATTTTAGGAAAATATTTATATAATATTTAAAAGCTGTATTTCTGCAGTGTGTGACACTATCTGCGTTTTGCATTGTTTATTTTGTGGGCGGAGTCAGTCTTTAAAAAGAACATGGAATAATTGCAGGATTTGTTTATCAGAAGTGTTACTTTTTGTCTATTTTCTAATTTTATTCTTATTATTGGTATTATGGATGATGCTGGTTATAGTTTTGGTTACTGCAAATCAAACTCATCTGTTTTTTTCAGGTTGTTAAACTATTATGCTGTAAATTCCATGCAGTCCTACTAGATGTTAGTTTGATCATACAGATACGCCGAAGATGAAACTGACAAACAGCAAAATCATGGGTGGAATTCGCGTGCGCTCATTTTTGACGGCAACTTTGGTGAGATAAATTTTGGATTTATGTCTTTTTTATTTATGTATGTATTTGTTTGTTTCTGTGTCTCTCAGGTTCAGCAGGGCAGGACAGGTAACGATAAAGAAGTCTCTGTTGCTGCTCACGTCACTAAAACTGACTTCACCTCCCCTCCCAGCATCTACAAGACCGCCCTCAACCCGGCCAGGTACGCCCACCCCCACCCTCGGAACACGCGCCTGAACGGGTTCTCACAGCCGAGAACTGTGACTATTAAATTTATTAAAATTTATTAAATTCTGTTTATTAAAATGTAATTTACTTTAATCTACAGATTGGAGTCTATATGCTTATACAACGCTGCATATAGAGCTGAAATGTAACATAACACTTCAAGAAGTCGTCATGATACAAAATATATAACAAAATGTTTATTTTTTCTTACATCTGTTCATTTAGAACAGACAAAGGTCCAGTCCCATTTCTTCTTTTTACCCCTACCCCTTGTTTTCGAGTGTCACCCTAACCCCTTGGAACTGTGAGTTACTTCCCTTGTAAAATGGGACAACCCTCAAATAAAAAAGGACATTATTTCATTAACAGGCTACTAGCGCTGCCCTGTAGGCGACCCGGCTTTAGTTACATTTAGGGCATCATGTGCCTTCAAAGAGGGGGGCAATTATTTATTATCACCCACCTCTAATTCTTCAGTGAAGCTGAAGTCAGATATTCACCAGATTCTTGTTCAAATTTTCCCGTTCCACCTTAAATGGTGCAGCAGTTACATTCTGGAGCTTCTGGCGTCAGAACTGCTGGACTATTTAAGGTGGAACGGGAAAGTTAGCTGGCTAGCTACGGAGACATTAGCATGCTGTTAGTGGTTTGTTATGCTTGTTATGAAGAAAACGACCAAAATACACTGAAACGACGTTAAACTAAGATAAAACAGTGATTATCATAACTTTTAACAGAGAAAATTCTCACATTTGTGGGTTTCTTTGGTCTCTTGTTCAGCCGTCTTACCGGTTCTTCGTTTTTCTTCATAACTCTCTGTTTGGAGTCTCTGAAAAACCTCTGTTTGGAGGGCCATGTAGCCCCAACACTTCGCCCTAGACATGAACGCGCAAAACAGAGGGCTGAGGGCTCAGTGGTAGGGACGAGGGGTGAAATGGGACTGGACCAAAGTAGTGCCACGTTTTAAAAACTACTATCAAGTAAAATTACGCCTAACCAGATAATCATTATTTACATCATTTACATGTTTTTCAATATCGAATAGTACAGATAATCACGTTTCCCCATAGTGTGACAGACAAAAACAGCTTAAAATATATAAGAACGAATACAAAAGTAGTGTTTTATTCCCATATGTATAGCTACCGAGGTGGTTAACTTGGCTAACTGAAAATGGCTAATGCTATTTAAAAAATATTTAAAGGTAGTTACTCTCTACTAACTGAAAATAACTTTGCTAGCTGTAAATATTGACAAAAGTATGCTGCAAAGCTGAAAACATAACTTTTTAAGTTGAGAATTTACTTAAATCTACAGATTGGAGTCTATATGCTTACATAGTGCTGTATATAGAGCTGGATGAAATGGCAGAAATATAACTATAATTATACTTCAAGAAGTCGTCATGAAACAACATATATAACAAAATGTTTATTTTTCTTACATCTGTTCATTTAGAACAGACGAAGTAGTGCCACGTTTTAAAAACTACTATCAAGTAAAATGATCAGTATTTTATATTCCCCACACTGCGCTGCACTAAATCCACCAACACAGGACTATTATCAGTGTTTCAGACATGCGGCTGGGAGGCGTTCGTGCTGACGATGCCCAGAATAGACTCAGAGAAGCGTATTGTGATATAACTTCTCACAATAATGATATTTATTGTCCAGTTATATTGTCCTGTAGTTGTCGTATTTAGATCCTGCTGTGGTTCGGCTCCTTTCACTGCAGAAAACAAATGGAAAACGGTTCTGTGTAGCACCAAAAAGGTTCTTCTGTTGTTATAATTGTCAGAGCGTATTCGACAGAAGAACCCCTTTTTGGTGCTTTATAGAATGCAGCACGTTTTCCATCAATCCGAAGAACCATTTCACTTTGCAAAGAACCATTTCAGCATGAAGTGGTTCTATGTAGAACTCATGGTTCTACATAGAGACATTCTCTTTATTAAAGAACCACTCTTTTTTTTTAAGAGTGTGATGCTACTACTACTACTAATAATAATAATAACTATGAAAATAATAATTATAATTGAGCCCCTCCAATAAAAAAAACCATATATTAACCATTCCACTCTTTTTTAGATTATCAGTTATTTTGTTTTCTGTTTTATTTTGTACAATCATTTACATTAAAAAGCTACACTGTGCTTTATGTACATTTTAGTGATGTCTTTATTTGACATACAGGGCATCAAGCAATGTCAAACCGTGTTTACATGTTTTATTTTAAAAAATGTCATCATTGGGTCTTTTTTTTTTTTGGGTGAACTACCCCTTTAATGTCACTAACAGGTCCTCACAAGTGTGGTATTGTAAGTATTTCATATGTGTGTGTGTGTGTTGTGCAAGAGAGGGGGCGGTAACTCTTCTCTGCCTGTCTCCCCTTACTCATGCCCTCATAGGATATCCCCTCCGCAGTGGGCGGGGCCAGCCACTCAAGACACGCCCTATTATACGTAAGTGGGTGTGGACACGGGCCTGGCCAAAGAATTCATGAGTTCAATTAATCCACTGAAAGGTTTCTTGTTTTTTTAAAGGGCTCATATCAGGGAAAACTGACCAATGTAGTTCTACAGTTACAGACTGTAGTCCATCTGTTTCTCTGATACTTTGTTAGCCCCCTTTTACCCTGTTCTTCAGTGGTCAGGACCCCATGGACCCTCACAGAGCAGGTACTATTTGGGTGGTGGATCATTCTCAGCACTGCAGTAACACTGACATGGTGGTAGTGTGTTAGTGTGTGTTGCGCTGGTCTGAGTGGATCAGACACAGCAGTGCTGCTGGAGTTTTTAAACACCTCAGTGTCGCTGCTGGACTGAGAATAGTCCACCAACCAAAAATATCCAGCCAACAGCGTCCTGTGGGCAGAGTCCTGTGACCACTGATGAAGGACTAGAGGATGACCAACACAAACTGTGCAGCAGCAGATGAGCTATCGTCTCTGACTTTACATCTACAAGGTGGACCGACAAGGTAGGAGTGTCTAATAGAGTGGACAGTGAGTGGACACAGTGTTTAAGAACTCCAGCAGCACTGCTGTGTCTGATCCACTCAGACCAGCACAACACACACTAACACACCACCACCACGTCAGTGTTACTGCAGTGCTGAGAATGATCCACCACCCTAATATCTGCTCTGTGAGGGTCCATGGGGGTCCTGACCACTGAAGAACAGGGTAAAAGAGGGGCTAACACAGTTGATACTCAGTGTTAACAAACACAGCCCGATTTCTTTATTTGTTCATTTATTTGTTTATTTATTTTAGTGCATAAACTCGTGTCCTAATTGGACGTCAGGGACCAGAAGATGTAAGAATAAAAGCAGGATATGGGCCCTTTAACGCTTTTTTGTTGTTTATGACTTTTCACCTAAAATCACAGATGGTGATTTTTTTTTATTTATATTTTGATATAAAGCTTTTTTTGTTTTGGTGCATAAATCTGATGTAGTCGGCTGGTCTGGCTTACAGCTGCCGACACATCAGCAAAGCATTTTGTTTATGATTTCTTTAACACCTTTTTGGGATAATTTTGATTTCTGTATGTTTGTGTGTGAACCTGTTTCACTCTCTACTTGACAGATAAACCAGTGATTCTGTGTGTTTGTGTTTTGCAGGAAGTCCAGTGGGACCATCGACGTGATCGGTGGACAAACGGCCACCATCAGCCGAGTGGAGGGACGACGCCGACACAACCTGGAGGGAAACAACATCCAGGTAAAGAAACAAAAAAACAAAGCTCTGTGTAGTATCTAAACGATCCAGACTGACCCCAAACAGTCAGCAGACCACTAAACACTAGTACGAGTTGTATCTGGGGTTTTGCAGTGCTTGTGCAAAAGTTTGAGCGCCCGGTCAAACGACATGCTTTATTGATTAAACACACTGAAATTTTCCATTTTTTCCTCATTTTAGTGCAGTTTCTGTTTATATGCTCTAATGTTTAAAACATCATGTTGAAATGACATAAAACATATGTGAAAAAATAATATAGAAAATATTACTATAAAATAAAAGATTTAAAAATATTCACCGCCGTCTGAAAAAAAAGTATCTCCAGAATAGTAACTTTACAGGAGAAGGCAAAAACACTGACGATTCAATGTAAGTTAATGTAAGGAGATTTTATTCCGAGTAATTTTGGAGCATTTCTATTGGTCCGTTCATCATGAAATTCTCAGCATCCTCAGCACTGCAGTAACGCTGACGTGGTGGTGGTGTGTTAGTGTGTGTTGTGCTGGTATGAGTGGATCAGACACAGCAGTGCTGCTGGAGTTTTTAAACACTGTGTCCACTCACTGTCCACTCTATTAGACACGCCTACCTTGTCAGTCCACCTTGTAGATGTAAAGTCAGAGACGATAGCTCATCTGCTGCTGCACAGTTTGTGTTGGTCATCCTCTAGTCCTTCATCAGTGGTCACAGGACTCTGCCCACAGGACGCTGTTGGCTGGATATTTTTGGTTGGTGGACTATTCTCAGTCCAGCAGCGACACTGAGGTGTTTAAAAACTCCAGCAGCACTGCTGTGTCTGATCTACTCCTATACTGTAAGTGGAGCTGATAAAATGGACAATGAGCGTAGAAACAAGGAGGTGGTCGTGATGATGTGCCTGACCGATGGACGTTACATGTTTGCAAATAGTTTTATATCAGAATTAAAGCGAGGCCGATTGAGTGGGCGTGTCAGTAGTGTAAGCCCCGCCCCTTCACTCTGATAGGCAGGTCTCAGATGCGTAGTTCAGTCCCTGGCTGGTGTAGCTGAGTGGAGACCGTAGACAGTGAGGAGTGAGTCAGTGCAGCTCTGCAGTCTCTGTTTACAGTCGTTAGTGTTCCCGATTGATGCTGTGCTGATCGTTACATTGTTGCTATGGTGATGATCAAGTTCTCTCTCTCTCCGTCGTCCAGGTGATTTCGGAACACTCGTCTACAGAGGCTGAACCCATGCCCGCCAAAATGCCCGCCTTCTTTCCCCCGGGACCCTTGCCTCCAAACTTGCCTCCCCCACCCTTCCTGCCCCCACCGCCGGTCAGCCAGGCTCCACCGCTCATCCCTCCGCCAAGTCAGTGTCTCTCTCTCTCTCTCTCTCTCTCTCTCTCTCTCTCTCTCTCTCTCTCTCTCTCTCTCTCTTTCTCTTTCTCTCTCACACTCTCTGTCTGTCTCTCTCTCTCCCCCTCTCTCTCTCTCTCTGTGTCTCCCCCTCTCTTTCTTTCTCTGTCTCTCCCACTCACTCGCTCTGTCGCTGTTTCTTTCTGTTTTTTCTCTTTTTCTTTCTTTCATTCTTTCTCTTTTCTCTCTACTTTTATTTCTCTCTTTCTCCCCCTTTTTTTCTCTCACCCTCTGCCTCTCTCTCTCTCTCTGTCTCTCTCTCTCTCCCCTATTCACTCGCTCTGTCACTGTTTTTCTCTCTTTCTCTTTCTATTTTTATTTCTCTCTCTCTCTCTCCCCTTTTTTCTCAACCTCTGCTCTTTCTGTCTCTTGTGCTCTTTTTTGTCTTTCTTTCTCTCCCTTTTCTCTTTTTTCTCTCTTCCTCTGCTCACTCTCTCTCTCTCTCTCTCTCTCTCTACCAGTTTCGCCTTCTGCTCTTTCTTCTTCTGTTCTCTCGTCTCCTCCTTTTTCTCTCTTGCCTTCTCTTTTCTGTCTTTCATCCTGTTTTCCCTTTTTCCCTCCCCCTTTTCTCTCTCATATTCTGATTTCTCTCTCTTTTTTGCCTTTTGCTCTTTTTCTTCGCTCTTTTCTCTCTTCTCCTTTTCTCTCTTGCCCTCTCTTGTCTGTCTTTCTTTTTGTCATCCAGTTTTCTTTTTTCCCTTCTTCCCCCTTTCTCTTTTCTTTCTCTTCCTCTGATTTCTCTCTTTCTCTCTCTCTACCTTTTTCCTTCTGCTCTCTTTCTTTCTGTTCTCATCTCCTCCTTTTTCTCTCTTGCCTTCTTTTCTGTCTTTTTTCATCCAGTTTTTTCTTTTTCCCTCCTTTCCTCTCTCTCTCTCTCTCTCTCTCTCTCTCTCTCTCTCTCTCTGTGTGTATATATGTATATAACTCTCCCGTCTTATATATATATATCTGTTTCTGTGTTCATGGACATTTTTTGTTTATCATTGACCTGAATGTGTTTCTCTGTGTCTGATGTTGTTTACAGGGCTGCCCATCACTGTTCCTCCTCCTGGTACGTTCTGTTCTCAGATAAACTCTTTATTGAAAATTTGTAAATCTGTGTAAAAACGATCAAAGCTATAAATTAAGATCTAAATGTTTCGTTTGTGTTGCAGGTTTCCCTCCACCTCCTGGAGCTCCGCCCCCTTCACTCATCCCAACCACAGACACGTAAGATCACAGCCAATCATCTGTCAGATTCTCACCGTGTGGGAGGGGCCTGATTTTCTATTGAAGTCAGTGTGACTGTTTCAGTAGGACATGCTGGGCAGATGAATGTGCTAAAGAAGCTCAGACAGTTACTGTTTTAATGAGAACCGAACATTAAAACCCGCTTCTTTCTGATAACGAGCGTCTTTTATAAGGTGCTGGAGGAGGTAAGCAGCTCTGTGGTCTCCCTGCAAAGCACACGGCAGGACAAACACGCGTTTACAAAGCTATGATCTGAACAGACAACCGGAGTGAAACTCCTGTACGGTTTACACAGTGCTGTGCAAAAGTTTGTGCACCCCTGGTCAAATTATTTTCACGTTTGTAAGTGTAAATATGTTACTACACCCTCCACGGGGAGCACACTTACGCACATTTTAATACTCAATTACCGTTTATTTAGTGATTTTAACATCACGAAGATGAAAAACAACATAAAACGTGGCCTGTGCAGAAGTTATGGCACATTTTATGCTACACGTTTTATTTTCTCTGACATGTTTAAGGGCCCCATGTTCCACATCGTTGTATGCCATAGTTTTGGTCCACTAAATTTCATACTGTTTGTTTACCAAAAAAAAAAAGTCATAATTCATTTTTCATGACCTCTCTTCATCCCTTAGAATTAAACGGGTTGTTTTTGTTGCTGTGCCTTTAAGACTGATGTATGTAAATGAGCTCTGTTCTGATTGGCTGTGCCTGTCTGACCTGAAACACTCCTTATAACTTCAGTGTGAGTGTTGGGAGGGGTTATACTGCTATAGGCTGGATAGGCGGATGTTTGACATCACAAAAAGGATGAAATCAAAACGATCTGTTCTTGCAACTTGGTTTACGTTTATAGACGGGTACGTTTTTAAAACGTCAGCAGTGTTTACATACTACAGTGAACTTAACAGCCTGTTTAATTCTAAGGCATAAAGAGGGGTTCGAAAATGGTCATGATTACCATATATGGTACATAAAACTGAAAAAAAAATACAGGGAAAATGTGGCATATGGGCAGTTTAAAGAGGGCTTTGTTTGAGCACCAGAATAAAGCGGTCCCCTATCGGGCAGCTGTTACAGAAGGTTTCCTGTGGTTTTTTTATAATGACTGTTTCGTTCTGCAGCAGTGGGCACCCTGGAGGATACGACTGCCGTCCGGTCGCCCCGTACCCTTTCCCACCAGGTCAGTGCGAGACTTGATTCAGTACTCCTACAGTTAGGTCCAGTCCCATTTCTTCTTTTGACCCCTACCATTTGTTTTCAAGTGTCACCCTAATGGAGTTACAAGCAGTAGTGGTTGAAATCTTCCCTCTGAAATGAGACCCTCAAATAAAAAGAGCATCACTTCATTAACAGCTACTAGCGCTGCTCTGTAGGCGACCCTGCCAGTCTGCAGTGACAGCAGAGGAGGGTAAAGTTCAGCTCCTCACTGCTGGGCTTTAGTTACATTTAGGGCATCATGTGCCTTCAAAGAGGGGGGCAATTATTTATTATCACCCACCCCTAATTCTTCAGTGATGTGAAGCTGAAGTCAGATATTCACCAGCTTCTTGTTCAGATTCTCCCGTTCCACCTTAAATGGTGCAGCAGTTACATTCTGGCGCTTCAGGCGTCAGAACTGCTGGACTATTTAAGGTGGAACGGGAAATTTAGCTAGCTAGCTACAGAGACATTAGCATGCTATTAGCGATTTTTATGCTTGTTATGAAGAAAACGACCACTACCCCTAGACGTGAACGCGCAGAACAGAGGGCTAAGGGCTGAGTAGTAGAGTCGAGGGGTGAGATGGGATTGGGCCTTAAAAACAGCTCAGCTGAGTTTCGTCCAGCAGGTGGTGCCGTTGTAGTATTTATGGATTTGAAAGTATAGTATCAGATGTACACTGCAGTCCACTTACACCAGGTGTAGTAGGACACAGTATGACGTGCTGTGAGCTATGAAAACGCTCCCAGTAGCTTTTTCACATAACAGTGGTGTAGTGCCGAATTCTGACTCCCCCGCAGAATCTAACACACTTCACACACAAACCTCTGGACACTACAGAAAGCCTGTGGTGCATTCAGTGAATGTTTCTGTCCATCACAATCAGCTTAAGAGTTCCTGTGTGTATTAACTAACGTTTTATTTAGTTCAGTTTAGTATTATTATGTATTTATTTATCTGTCTGTGTTTTTTTTTTTATTATTATTTTATTTTCAGGTGGTTACCCCCCACCCCTGCAGGGTCCTGTGAACAGCTGGTCCGGAATGATGGATAACTCTAAGCAGTGGGATTATTACCCCCGCCGAGAGAAGGAGCGAGACAAGGAGAGGGAGAGAGAGAGGCCGAGAGAGCGAGCACACGACAGAGAGAGGGAGAGAGAGAGAGAGCACAGCCCGGCTTCCATGGCCTACAACAGGTCAGCTCTGAACTCTAAAAACCATGACAGCATTTCAGAAAATATGTATGTATATTTTTATTTATATATATAAATATATACGCATACACATACATACATACCGATCAGGCATAAACATTATAACCACCTCATTGTTTCTACGCTCTTTGTCCATTTTATCAGCTCCACTTACTATACAGGTGCACTTTGTAGTTTGTAATAGTGGATCAGACACAGCAGCACAGCTGGAGTGTTTAAACACTGTGTCCACTCACTGTCCACTCTATTAGACACTCCTACTTCGTCAGTGAACCTTGTAGATGTAAATTTTATATATATATATATATATATATATATTATATGAAATTTACATTAATGACAGATTTGAATCACTTACCTAAACGAGTGTGAACCATCCTGTCAGAGAGATCGGATTTGAGCAAAAAATCAGATTTGAGCAACTAGGCTTTGTAATGTGAACGTAGCTTTGATTTGATATTCAAACGTATCACCAGCTAAATATTTTGTCCACCCCTCCAGTGATGAAGAGCGCTACCGCTACCGCGACTACGGCGACCGAGGGTACGACAGGCACCGCGAGCGGTCGAGCCGAGAGAAGGAGGAGAGACACAGAGAGAGAAGACACAGAGAGAAGGAGGAGGGCCGACACAAGTCGTCACGCAGGTAACTTACAGGCTTTCTAGAGAAGCGAGTTTAGAGATTGTATTTCTTTATAATTTTCCTCGCCTTGGTGTTTCAGCAGTTTTGCCTGGACTGATTTTTTTTTTTTGAATGAGACACAAGATGGCCAGTCAGAGCAGAGCTCATTTGCATATGTCAGTTTCAAAAGCACAGTAACAAAAACAGCCTGTATACCTGTAAAAATCACCTGTTTTTGGACATGAAGCCACTTAAATGGTAAGAGTGGACCTGAAGGTTGGAATCAAAAATGAAACAGAAAATAAATGTAGAAGAGTGAATCTCAGAGTGGGACGAAGGTCATTGTGCTTTCATCCTCTCACACCATCTCTATCATCCCTTCTCTCTCCCTCTCTCTCTCAGCAGTAGCAGAAGGAGGCACGACAGTGAAGAAGGCGACGGCCATCGCAGACACAAACATAAGAAGTCCAAGAGGAGCAAAGAGGGCAAAGAGCCAAGCGAGGAGCGAGCAGCTGACCAGGAGAACCAAGAGGCCATGGAGTAACCACCCTGAACTGGGGGTTATTTCACAAAGCAGGATTTACTGGGTTTACTGGAATAACTGGATATCTTTAGTCCAAAAGGAACGGATCCCTTTACTCCTGTTGGATAGGCTTGAGTTCTGGTTTAAAGGGATTCTCCAGGATTCTCCAACCTAATCACCATCTACCGCAGATGGTTAACTACCATTAACGGCCGTTTTTAGGCCTTTCGTCGTAATAAAAAAAAGAACAGCCAGACAGAAAAGACTGAATAGAAGCCAGTGTGCAGTTGCTTCAGCGACAGCCCATTGACTTCCATTATAAGTGTGTTTCAAGTCAAGGTGTTTAGTTCTTTTACTGTTGAAATTGTCGTAATTAATCACACGTTGCAGACGCAGCAGATGGAGATTAGGGCAAACAAAGTACTGGAGGCCTCTAAGTTATCTGGCTAATGTTCGATTCCAGCTTTGTGAAATAACCCAGGAGAACCAGGAGTGGAGAACCATGGAGTAAACGCTGTCCTCCAAACGCTGGGGGTCAGCAGGATCATGCTCGCAGTAACCTAACCAGATCGTCTGTAGTGTCTCTGAATCGCAGCAGTTTTGTCATCTTTTGTGTTTTAGTTTTTGTCCTTTTTTGTTTTTGTTTTTCTAAGTACCATGTAGGTGTTGATTTGTTGGATTAAAAAAAAAAAAGGCATTTGGTAATTTCTGTAACGACTGTGGTGTGGTTTTTGTCCGGCAGCATTCGGATCAGAACGAATTCCAAAGCATATTTGAACCTGGTTAGCCTTGCTTTTCAGATGAAGTCATGATATAAAGGAAGAATTTGACACAAAAATGTTAATTTCTACTCCCTTTCAGCCCAAATGTGTTTATGAGTCAAGACACTGGACCTACAAGGCTAATGTGGCTAATAAGTGATGGAGGCCTATTAGCTGGCAAATTAGCATGGCGCTAACTGCAGGCCTAACTCATCGCACTCGCCTCAAACCGTGTACAGCTGTGATCTCTTATAGATCTAAACTTGATTATGTGGTTTCTGACTTTGAAAGGCACACTTATCTATAAACATGGATTAAATTAGCATAGCTAAACCCAAACGCTAACAAGCCGTCTTGAAGCCTGTGTGTGCGCACTTTCCTCATTTTTAATATATTTTGAGCCAAATTGAACAACAAGAAAGGAACTTTATTCATTTTCCAGCCAAGACATGTTCGGGGTCTGAAGTTAGCTTCATTAGTATTGAACTGCTACGATGCTAACACAGCTAACAACTGAAGAAAGCTTGAGGGCTGGAGCCGCAGATATACACATTTGGACTTGGTTAGCCTTGCTTTTCTACGGAGCCCCGCTGGTGACATCCTGTATGAATAAAAATAATGCGTGGCCACGACTTAGTAAGGCGTGGGAACGAGATCACGGCTTACTAAGTCGTGGCCACGCGTTAGGATCTCGTTCCAACGCCTTACTAAGTCGTGGCCACGCATTATTTTTATTTATACAGGATGTCACCAGCGGGGCTCCGTACTTTTCAGACAAGGTCATGAAACCTAGATGCCGCGTTGTCTGTTGTTCTCTATCTGAGGCGATACGTCTGCGCGTCCGCCATGTTGGAGAGGTCAAGATCTGCTTGTGAACAAATTCACTTGTATCGAGAGACGAAGAGTCTCAGGATTAAACCGGCCACAACTTCCTTACTACTGAACCGATTTTCACCAAATTTGTTTAGTTATAATCCTCAGACACAGATTAATCTAGGTTACACTGCTCTCGGTAGCTTTTATTACTTTAATAACTGATTGTGGTAATTAGCCGTCCGGACCGGCAGGAAAGTATTCAGTACGCACCTGACGTTAAAAACTGGGTTTAGCGCTTCAGTAGAAACACAATCAGCAAATCCATCAAAGTGTGAGTCGCTTCTAATCTTTATACACATAAAAATAAAACAACCCCCCCAAAACACAGAATGACGAAGAATGACACAATAAGAATGACGATGATAAAGTTGGCTTCCTATTTGCCAGCTTCTTGTTCGAATTTTTCCGTTCCACCTTAAATGGTGCAGCAGTCCCTTTCTGGTGCCTGAAGAGGCACCATTTAAGGTGGAAGGGGAAAATTCGAACAAGATCCTGGTTGATGCATCATTTAAGGTGGAACGGGAAAATTCGAACATGAAGCTGGAAAAGCTAACCTCAGATGCCTCAGGTGCTAACGTTCATCTATTATGAATATCTATAGGGATTAAGGAATGCTATAACGTACCTAGCTCCAAAACATTAACCACCATTGTAAAAATATAACTACTACATAAAGTTAAAATAAAATAAGCTTAATATAAAACCAGACGAAAAACAATCACATCAGCAGGTTCTCTGCGCCTCACCAACCACACGGCCATATCTACACATAAACACCACACAAACAATACGCATCACACAAACATGAGCGTGGATCACTGCGTTCCCTCCGTTATATAATCCTATCCCACTTTCTGAGTGTAATATTCCTGAAACAGTGTAATTCTGGACAGTATCTGTCTCAAACTGCCGCTCTGTGATGGTACTAAATGCAGTCCAGCGGCGATGTTGACCGCCCCAAAATGGCGGTGCCGTTGACGCGCCTGGCTGGACCCAACGCGGCACCTAGGTATGTATATCAATGGCTGGAGCAGCGAATACAGACTGCACTGCTGCTACTGCTGTTATTAGCTATGCTAACACACTTTAGTTCATAGATAACAGTCAGAAACCACTTAATCGAGTCTGTTAGAGGTCACTGAGCAACAAAGGGTTCCATTACATATTAGCTACATTAGCCTGATAGACTGCTTTTAGAGTCAGAGGGTGCACTGGGTACATGTTTCTCCACTGATGTTTAACTTAAACCCTGATTTTAGGTTAAATAAATGTAACAACTGATGTACATTTGGGGAACCAGAAGCATCCACTGGTGGTGTTCAAGACATTGAACAGTCATTCACTCTTTCATATGGAAATGTTGATAACAGATCAAAATTCATTTTAAAGGGGATTTCCAGAGGAATTCCACTATTTGTTTTTCCACAAACCCTCCATAATTCAGTGAGAAACAGTCGTTCAGAGTGGTTTGGTGTGAAATGGTTGATTGTAGAGACTCAGATCTCTTTACAGTGGTGGTGATAGGAACCAGGGGTCGCCATGACTACAACACAAATATAGCCACTTTATTTACTATCCAGAACCACCAGTGAACCTACCCGAGTCTTCTGAGTTTATATATTAAATGTTGATGATGGTAAAATCGTGGAAAATCAGGAAAAAAAGTTTTCTTTGGGGACTATTTTGCCTCACAACACCCTGCATGTATCCCTCCATCATGAATGGATTTTAAGGCCAAAACTACTGAAAAATATCATAAAAAGTGTCTCAGTCATCAGGCAGTGAATTCATAACCATTTCACGTAGTAACTTTCTGTGAGGGAGCTTTTAGAGGTGGATGTCTGGTTCCTATCACCACCACTGTGAACAATTCTGACTCTTTTTTGTAGAATTTCTGTAGAATGGAGCATTTTACTCCAAACCACTCTGGATGACTGTTTAAATCTCAACCATTTAATTATGGAGAATTTTTGAAAAAGAAATAGTTCCTCTTTCAAGCTGGAAAATCTGTAAAACAGTCATAGTAGCTATTAATACAGCATATTAGAGGTATTCTGCTGCGCAACATAGCTACAACACCCATGGCCTAGTATGGGTGCTGCTTCGTGAGGTGCCGTCCGTGTGACTGCTTGTCAGCAGTTTTGGAAAACGCTGGTAAAAACCATCTTTTGTCAATTAATTATTTTGCTCTCTGACTGTTTCCATCGACTCTGTGTGCAAATTAGGCGATTAAATAAAACCGCGCTGATGTTTTTGCCCAGCTGCTTGTTTCCAGCAGACTGCTTCCCTGACTTCCACACAACCTACTGATAAGGAAATTTAATTAGTTTATTTTGTGTGTAAGGAATCGGTCAGGCCTGCTGAGAAAAACATCATTGTCCATTTTATCAGCTCCACTTACTATATAGGTGCACTTTGTAGTTCTACAGTTACAGACTGTAGTCCATCTGTTTCTCTGATACTTTGTTAGCCCCCTTTTACCCTGTTCTTCAGTGGTCAGGACCCTCACGGACCCTCACAGAGCAGGTACTATTTGGGTGGTGGATCATTCTCAGCACTGCAGTAACACTGACGTGGTGGTGGTCTGTTAGTGTGTGTTGTGCTGGTACGAGTGGATCAGACACTGCTGGAGTTTTTAAACACTGTGTCCACTCACTGTCCACTCTATTAGACACTCCTACCTTGTCAGTCCACCTTGTAGATGTGAAGTCAGAGATCATAGCTCATCTGCTGCTGCACAGTTTGGGTTGGTCATCCTCTAGTCCTTTATCAGTGGTCACAGGACGCTGTTGGCTGGATATTTTTGGTTGGTGGACTATTCTCAGTCCAGCAGTGACACTGAGGTGTTTAAAAACTCCAGCAGCACTGCTGTGTCTGATCCACTCAGACCAGCACAACACACACTAACACACCACCACCACGTCAGTGTTACTGCAGTGCTGAGAATGATCCACCACCCAAATAGTACCTGCTCTGTGAGGGTCCATGGGGGTCCTGACCACTGAAGAACAGGGTAAAAGGGGGCTAACAAAGTATGCAGAGAAACAGATGGACTACAGTCTGTAATTGTAGAACTACAAAGTGCATCTATATAGTAAGTGGAGCTGATAAAATGGACAATGAGCGTAGAAACAAGGAGGTGGTCAGAATGTTATGTGTGATCGATGTATATATATATATATATATATATATATATATATAATGAACATTGTGAAAGTATTTGCCTTATTTCATGATCAGCTTCAGACGTACGCAGGTTTATGGGTATTTTATTACTGTACATACACAGTACTTAAATACTCTTTAAAGAGATAAAATAAAAAAGAAGGATGGCCAGGTCCTGGGTACAGACGGACGTAAAGAAAGGTGGATTCGCCATTTTAGTACAACATAAGGAACATTTCTCACATACACACCAACATGTACAGGGTGGATTTGGTGTTTTAGCGCCGCGTGGTTCACATTTAAACCAGAACCCTGACTTAGCGGCACAAACATGCTCAACATGAGGTACACGCTTTAAAAACGATGGTTGTTCAAGGGTTCTTTAGTAAAGGGAATGATTTCTGCAAAGAACCATTTAAGCAAGAAATGCTTCTATATAGAAC